GGGCTCCACAGCCCCGCTGGCCGACATCCCCACCACGCGCGACCCAGGCGCCGACTTCCGGCTTTTACTGCCCCTGTGGCCCCTCCCCTTCCTCCGGCACTTCCGCCAGCTGCCGCCCCTGCCCTTTCTTAAAGAGGCCGTGGATTCTGGGCCCTCGGGGAACCGTACCTGACACGGTTTCCCAGTTTCCGGGATTATTTGATCCTGATTTCCATAGCCAGCTGGTTCCAGACGTTGCCTCCACCTCAATTCAGGCATCACCGCTCCAGGACGTCCTCTCAGACCCAGGACAGTTTTTTGCTCCTTGCAATAGCTCCGTCGCACTAGATTCTAACTATTGGTCCGCAAGTCTGACTGCAGGAGCCTTGACGGCAAGGGATCTGGCTGTCCCTCGGTATCCCCGAGGAGGTGCGCTCTGACCCGGGATGGCTTGGATCCACTGTTGGGCCAGACGCTGCTTTGGCTCTAGATCCCCCTCCCTTAGTCCCTCCATCAGTCTCTCCCTTCCTGTTCTTCTCATTCCCTATTTCTGTCCTCGTAAACACCAGCCCAAATTCCAGCCTCAAATACATGGCCCTCATTTTCACTCCCACCCCCTCATCCCCACCACATCCGACTCCAGCTGAATCACTCCTCCTGGTTTCCTAACTAACAACAACAAAAACACCTCTTTGGGGGGTAAACTTTCCTTTCCAGCACCTCCTCTCCCTGGGCACCGCTCTCCCAGTTCTGTTGCTAAATCTAGGGTGTCAGGGAAGAAGTCCAGTTTTTAGGTATGATGAGGCCAGATTCATGTGGGGTGCGTGCTATGCAGGAGTGAGGCAGTGCTGAGAACCCTGTGCACTGCGGGCTAAGCTGGGAGGAGAGAGTGCCACACAGGACAGTCCAAGGGTACTGGCCTGGGTGTGTTTACCCTTTCCTTTTTCCTCCTCCCTCTACCTCACCCGCCCCCAATTTCAGAGTTCCCAGGGATCTATAAGGAGCTTGGTTGCCCTCAAGTGAATCTGTACATGGAGAATGGGGAATAGGGAGTTAAGAGTTTGGGGGTCCCAAGAAGGTCAGTCATGAAAAGGGGCATTCAAAATCTGATACGGTGGTGACAAAGGAGACAGGCTACCTCAGGCCCCTGCACCTCATGCACACAGTCCTGAGGTAAGCAGGTGGGTGAACAATGCATGTGCAGAGAAAGGGTCTCTAACCTCTAACCTGGGACACCCCAGGCATGACAGGCAGCTGTCAGCCCAGCCAGAGCAAAAGCCCTCTGACAAACCTGGGCCGGGAGGGGGTCAATGTGAAGGAACAACGAGGGTTTGGAGGGGATGGTGGATATGCTTTAGGGATAGCGGTAAGGCCACTGCTTTCAGAGATGGTCCACATGAGAGTCGCACCAGGCAAATAAGCTTCCATCATAAGCATCTATTTCATTTGTGTCAGAAGTCTAGACTTCAGCCTAGGAATCAGCAGGGAGGGGCCAGAGATGGGAAGGGCACAAGGTTGGCTCTTCAGAGGGTTTAAGAAGCCTCCAGAGTTTGGAGAGTTCAGTCAGCTGTTTAGATGTAGAGCTAGGTGAGGAAATCCGGGCTCTACTCCCTCCCACGGTAACCCACACCATTTGTCCCCACCAGCAGGGACGTATACACACACACTCCTCATACTTTCTTCCTTTCTCCCTTCGCTTCCTCCAACAGAGGCTGTCATGGCAGCCCTAGGGAGAAACAAGGTCCTCTCTGCGAACCAGCAGTAGCAGTGGCCACCAGGTGGCCAGAAGTGATTGAAGCCAGGCCAGAGGACGAAAAGGCACAGGCTTCCAGCACCATGGTAACAGGCTTATACATAATTATCCACACACTGAGTGCCTCCTCCCTCCCCACTCCCGCCATCCTAGAATGAAGCAACTCAGGATTCCCAAACGAGGAAGGGAAGCCGGGTTTACAAAGCCTGGTGAATGTAATGCATCTGGATGGGGAATTGCAGGAAGCAGGATATGCCAAGGATGACAGCCCCTTCGGTGGCCTCAGCTATCCCGTGCAGGGCCCTCCACCCTCTGCCCAACAGGCCACTGTCCAGGACTGAGCCTGCTGGCTCCCCAGATAAGGATCTGGGACTTGGGAAGGAAACCCTCAGGGCTCCCCCTGATGGCCAAGACCATGGTCATGAAGGCTGTAGTTGATGTCTTCCCACAGGTCGTCCAGACGAGCCTGCAGCTCACTCCGGGCCTTGTCTGGGTCCTCTTGGAGGAACTCTGGGGCGAAGGCGCTGTGACCTGGCGGGGGCGGCGCCAGCTGCTGCTGGACCTGCTCGGTCTCCTGGTCAATGGCACGGGTGAAGGCGGCGATCTGCAGGAAGGTGTCCTGGCGGAAAGCCTGGAGTCGCTGGCGCACCTCCTGGGACAGCACCTGGGGGTCGGGTTGGGCCTCTTCCTCAGCACCATCCGCACCGGCACCGACAAAGGCGCTGAGCTCTTCGCGCAGCTGGTCCAGGTTCTGCTGGATGCGTGCGTGCAGGGCCTTGGCCTTGCGCGTGAGCTTGCTCGAGAGCACCTGCACGCAGCGGCTGAGGCGTGCGGGGCTGGCGGCGGCGTGCGGCGCCACGCTGCGGTGCAGCTCCTGCACGTGGCGCCCGATGCCTGTCACCAGGCGCTCGGCGTACGGGTGGAAGAGCGCCTTGACGCGGCTGGTGTGGTGCGCCACGCGGTTCTGCAGCTCCTGCAGCAGGCCCCGCGCCTCGTCCACGCCCCTCAGCAGGTGGGCCTTGGTGTCCTCCCCGACCGCGTGCAACTGCTCCTGCAGCTCCTGCACGCGCGAGGCCACCTGCTCCATCAGCTCCGAGGTGTAGGGCTGCAGCTGCCGCCGCAACCCTTCCAGGTTCCAGCCCACGCGCTTGTGCACCTCCGCCATGTAGGGCTCCAGGCGCTCCCTCACCTCCTCCAGCTCCTTCTGCAGCAGCTGCCGCATGTCCACCGGGTCTTGTGGGAGCCCAGGAGGCTCCCTCCCCTGCCCATTCAGAGGGCCCAGTTTTTCCAAGAACTTGTCCATATCGCTGAGGTTTTGCTCAAGGCTGCCTTTCAGGCTCCTGGGGAAGGGGACAATCAGGCCATCAGACTGCTAGACGCCTCATCTCCTCTGCCGCAAAGACATTGCTCACTGATCCTCTGGGGAAACGGAGGCTGCAGGGCCGTGGCTCCAGAGCCAGGGTTCTAGTTCTAGCCCCAGCCAACCGCAACTCCTCCCACAGGAAGCACAAACACAAGGCACATGTGTATTCAGACCAGCACTGCCCAGGGAAGCCCAGATGCACCTGAACAATCCTTTCATTCTGGAGAAAGCAATGGATGGGTGGGGGTGGGGGGCGGCGGGGGGGGGAGGTGGTTGGGGGTGGGGGTCGGTGGGAGGTCCGTCGTCCGACTCG